CATAGAAAACACAAAAGCTCCAGATCCACAAAGTGAGTAGCCTTTAATGCTCTGGGTTTGTAAGGCTAACCTGTGAGTTTTAAAAAAGACACTGAGTGATATTTGAAAAAACACAACATCCATGTAAAATATTAGGTATATTAAAGATGTATTGTTACAGCATTGAATGTCATATTAAACAAAAACTAAATGATTCAGAGGAAAATATTTTAAAATGACCCTTTACTGACTTTTTTTTTAAAGAATTGGCAATTGTAGAAAATGGTTATTTTAGGAATAGCTTTTATTCTAACTGGGAACTAGAATTATTGAAAAGCAGAACAGTCTGCAAGAAAAATTTAAGTTCCCAACTGTCTCTTTCCACTGGTTTAAATTACTTATTTTGGACCCTGCTGAAACAATCCATGGCAAAGTCTTTAGATAGCTCTAGGAATTTGTGCAGGCTATAGAGTCAGTCACGAGTTGCTGGTTTAAATCTAGAGAGAACAAGGAATAGTTGATACATGACCTCAGCTGTGTGGTATGAGTTTACCTCCCTGGGTGTAGGCGACAGTAACAGAAATAGCATTTATTAGTCCACTTCAGCATCTCATCCAAGGTCTGACACGGCAAAGTAGGGAAGCCTACTGTGCTGCAGACTGAGCTGGGTTTACTCCATGGATAAAAATTTAGCACTGTTGCTGTTACGCCAAAGGAAAAGCTAAGAGAGCTGCTTAATAACTAGCAAGAATAACAAAAAAACATCAGACTAGATAATTGGTTAGAGATGGTACCCTGGGAAGACAGGGACAAAAGGCAGTGAGCTGTAGCCAGTATACAATCCAAGGTAACAAGCAATCAGCGTTGGATTAGCAACCAAGGCAACTTTAATAATGTAACTATAGTGTTCACAATGATTTAACCATGCTATCCAGAACACAAAGCTAATGATGATATAGGGAATGAAGCCAGAAGAAGGTAGTATACAAAGAAAAGATTTGTAAGTGCCAGTACACGAAAGAATCTCCACTGGAAAAGGCCAATGTTTAAAATTTTTGTTCTGCTTGCTTGTTTCCCAAAGAACACAGAAGGCAAGCATTTAGGTTTTGGTAGTTGTCGTTTGCTAGCCATGCAGGGAAGCTGGGCTGTTTCAGAAGTTCCTAGTGACAGGTGACTTACAGAGTGTGATAGACCAACGTATTTTGCTGCCTTTGAAAACCAAACAACGAAGAGTTTTGCTATTTACAAGTTGGAAGTGAAGGAATGGATCTGAACTACAGAGTACCCTCTCAAAATACACAAATCCCTCTCTGCATGCCCTGCCTGCAAAATCGGCCTTCATCTAAGTTAACATTATGTTATAACTCAACCTAATTCATGGAGGCTGCAAAAAGAAGGATAAAGTGAGAACATAGGAATGTTGTAGCTAAGAACAGGCTCTCAAAATTTATTTTATTACTTGCCTACACTCTGAGTCGTACCACTCTACTGCTGTGATTAAAATGGTAGAACCTCTCTCTAAGGACTACACCCACTACTTTATCACTGAAGATGCTTGCCTGAATAAAATCCCTGACTGTCCTGTGTTGCATTCTCTCCCTCTGTGAAGTCAAATTCTTTTCTAGAAGTGACAATGTAAAATGGCTGCTGCTTTTACAACTGCTGTGCTTTGTGTACATATTCATAGGCAGAGCTTTTGCTGTAGTGACAAACAAATGGATTTTTACAATCCTTTACCCGCACTAGCATTGAGGAGTCCATAGAGTCAGGAAAAAATGAATAAGATTCAATTGTGCCTCACACATCCTGACTGAACCACTACTGCAAACTCCAATTGCAGCAACAAATTCTGCTAATCGCATTGTGCAAACTAACTACAGAGCCTGAGCTGAAGGAAAATTTAAACTCCCAAGGGAAACATATTTGTAATACATACTATGGACTGCCCTCAAATTCAAGTCGCAGTGGCTCACCAAATCAATTCTGGCAGACTTTTGGAGCCCTGTGAATTCCTTCTGACCTGGAAACTATGCAGATCCTAAGTGCTCACCAGCTGCTGGAGATATTTTGGTTAGCTCCCGGCTAGCTCTAAGTGGACACTACGGAAATGGTTTCTGCTCCCGTTGACAGCATCTCTTTGAAAGAACTATATTTAAGAAGCCCAGTGGGGGCATTAAGGTAGTGGTGGCAGTGAAATTGTAATATTTAGGGTTTGTTCAGTTTATGTGCAAAATCTATATCAAGCTGGATTTCCTTCTGTGGGAAGCATGTGAGAAAGGATCCAGAGAATTTGCATCCTAATTTTGTCCCTATATTTCTAAGTATCTTTCAACTGCTGTTGCTAAACTCGTATGCTAAACCTGGTCATGCCATTATCTTGGACCTTAAGGAAGAAAAAAAAAGTTAGTCCTACAGAGCGGCCAAAAGCAAAGCTTTTGTCTTTGTTCCACAAAAACTGCAGTATGAACTGCACCACTCAACCTTTTGGCTGGAAGCTTCATTTACATAACAATGCAGTGCTGTCGTTAGTAATAGCACTTCAGGACATCTTTTCTGAGTTAACATAAATATTAGGCATGCTAATAATACCACCCATTTCACAGGTTGATATGATAAATGATTTTTTGTACTGCTTCTCTTCTGCATTATTTTTTTTCTGTTACAGTTCCTATATAAGTGGAACCTCTAAGCATTTCCTGCCTTGTGCCCCTACCTTTGTGCAGGCAGTCTTTAGGTCAAGCCCAGCTTTAGGAAAAGCTGAAAAATCATATTCTCAGCAAGAATAAATGCCTGACTGAGCCCAATAGTTCAAGGTATGAAATTTGCTCACTGAGCATGCAACACATATGCAAGGAGCATCCTTACCAGGCAGTATCTGTGCTCCCTTCCATGACTAGCAGGGTGGTCTAGGACCCCAGCAGACAGACAGGGGTTCCTCCCTCCCCCTCACTGCTCAGCCTCTATTACAGAGCTAAATTGATGAAAAGTGAGTTTACTTGGGTTTCTTTAACTGAAAAGATAGCTACAGAAAAAGTGGGTTTGATTTCTTTATATTCTGTCTCCTTAAACTCCTATGTGCCTATACCATGTCTGCAGCAGCAACACGCTAACAAACACTGCTTGGTCAGACTGTATTCCTCACGTCCTTTTCTTCGCACTTTCTACTCATTGACTACAACCTTCCCGTGGATGTGCTTAGATGATTTTTCCTGCCTATTCCTGTTTGTCATATCCACAACTTTCAGTACTTATCTTTGAGGAGAAGAAACTAGTCTTTGCTTGCTACTGAGAAAAACAGATACAAAGAGGTACCTTCTATATCTCTCTCTGAGGACCTCATGTTAGAGCCAGCAGAGGAATTGGGTCTAAATTGCCATAACCAAATACCTCGAGACATGAACTACATCCAGCCTCAATAAGTATTGATAGGCAATGATATGCAATAGAAGAAGTCATGAGGAAAACTGCAGAGCTAATGCTGGCTGGTGACTAGAAAGCCCTAGTCCCTTTGGATCAGGACACAGCCATGCGCTGAAAAGATCAGTCTTTAGTTTATGGAGATCCCTTGATTGTTTCAGACAAATTAAACTACTCAGAAAGACTTGTTACAGGTCATTTTTATTTTTTAAGATTATCTTCTGAAAGCAAGAGCCTTCTTTGCTGTCCTTTTGATACATTTGATTTTGTCATACACATCCTTTCCTGACTGATTTTTCTAGAGTAGTGTTGCTCTAGAATGTAAAACCTCCTCTGGATTTCAAGCATAGTACAGCAAATCCACCTTGGGATGAATCTCCATGATAGAAGCAATGATGCCTTCAACGATTGTATTGAAATTAATTTAAAATATATTTACTGATTTAGCAAGACTTTAATGAGCTTTGAAAAGTTTTCAAAACAATTTAGGATGCTTAGAAGAAACCTCCTATAAAAAGAAAATGTTACCTATATAAAACACGACAGGATACCATGGATGGAAGAGCCATTCAGACCATTTACTGGGGTGGTCAAAGTGGATTTAGGACTGAACAGTGTGCTGAGCAAGTTAAACTGCCTATTAGCCAGTCCAAGCTGTACCAGAGGCTGTTTTCAGATATGTTTAATGGGCAGGAATCCAGCATTACTGTCATGTCTACTTCTATCCTTTGCCTGTCCCTGCAGTATGTAGTGGTATTTTCATATTGTATAAAACCTATTTATTAGTGAAACTACTTTCTCTGGCAATGTTGCAGCTTCAAGACTTTGGCAAGGTAGAAGAAGAAACATCAACACCACCCTCAAAAAAAAAAAAAAAAGATAGTTTCCCCCCACGTAAAGAAAAAGCAGTCTAGAAATTTAAAACATCTGTTTTAGAGGGGGTAATACTACAGGTCTCCTTTTATTTTTTTCCCTTAGCTTCTAATTACTTTTCTCTTAACAGCTCCACATGACAAGATGTCTCTCTTTCTAGCCCAGAGGGAATGACTGAAGCTCCTGTTTGACTATTCCACTGCTTTTCTGACAGCTGTACTGCTAACTTTGCCTTCTTTTTTGTTGTTGTTCTTGTTTTTCCTTAGCTCTTGGGACTGGCTAATAGAAGATCTCTGCTGTAAAGCTTATCTATGACATTGCAGGACATTGTTTCTCTCTGGCAAATTTTGTTTGTAACAGGTGAGGATGAGTTGGTGCAGACAACAGCAAGCTGTGGGTAGTAGTAACTCCATCAGCTCTGAGGGTCTTTATCATAGGGCCTCACTCAGTGATAAATACAAAAACAGGACATGAACCTGATCTCTGGAAAGGAATTAAAGACGACTTCTGAGCTTGTGACAGACCCCAGTGAAATCAAAGTGAGTGCCCAAGTGTCCCATCATTGTCCTTTCCTGTTAGCTCATGAAGCATAGTGGGACAGCAGTCCTACTGAGAGCCTCTAGGGGCTACTGCAGTTCAATAAATCATAATAAATAAAGTGCAAAACCACTTTTGAGTCTGAAATGGGCTATGTTAATCTCTAGTGTACTATCTTAGACTTCAGAGGAGTTGCATGCAACAGAATTTTGCCCACTGAGCCCTTGCAGACTGCTCTCGCATTACCATGAAGGATGAAGGATAAAGGATGGCAGTGAGTACAGACTATTCTCTTAGGACACAGCGTTTTGTCTTGTTTTCCTGGGGGAGAAATTAGTCTTTCAGTACTCTTTCTTGTTTTGTTCCCTGCTTTCTGATAATATTATAAAAGTAGCATCTTTATGTCACGCTGTGTTCTGCACAGAACACACCAAATTTGTGTACATAACAGTTATTTTGCTCTTTGCTAATGCCTTCATGAAGTTTGCTTTTATTTGAGTTAACAAGAATCAATGTTTTACTAATTTGTTCTTTAAAGATACCATACACCCTTGATAATTCTCTCCCACCGCATGGGGTTCGGTTCACTGTGAAGTGTTGCATGCATCATACAAGGCACAGCAAGAGAGCATGCATGTGAGAGAAGGGGCAAGCCTGAGAACAGCCTATTTGAGAAACTCAGAATTTGGAAGGAAATCTCTACAGGATATCAAAGCAAATTTCACTCCAAGAAGGTTTCACTGTGTCAATAGATGTAGCACAAAGGCTGCCTGTTGTTTCACAAACAATGAATCTTCTCCAGCCTATAAATAATGTAAAGACAAATCTCAGGATTTTTTAAAAATTCTGCTAGCTTGAGGCCTCCTACCCAGCATGCCTCCTTGTTTACAACTTCCACTACAAACATATATTGTGTTTGTTTTCAGACAAACATCAGCTTTCCCAACTCCTGCAATTAACCTCTAGTACACATTAGCAGCAGCCTTTTAAGCCACTTTTACATCCAGTGATGCTGGGCAGCATGGTGGAGGAGTAGTGGGCTCTTACACCACTAAGAAGTAAGCTCCTCAGCAGGAGATGTGTGGTGCAGCCTCTTTGCCATACAGTGCTGATGAATTACTGCAATCAGCTACCAGCCCTTTGGCAAGTACCTGCTCTTCAGGTAAGCTCCCTTAAAGCCATTTATAAAGGTAAAAGAATAAAACGCATTCAGTAAAGGTTTTACCACACCTTACATAGATCTTAAATGGGGTCTACACAAAGGAATGGATTCGTAACATTCAATTTTTTGTTCAAAGGTAGCAGGTCATCCTTAGTGTAAGAGGGCCTAGACTCCCAATATCTCCACAAGTGCAGGTGAATGCTCTTACTGCTCAAGCCCTCCCTGCATTTTGTTTGTCTGTCGTATGCATCCTGTGCAGATGCAGTAAGCCCAGGGGAGAGACCTGGTGCTTAGTCTAGCCTGTCTTGCCAAGGTTATGATGCCTTCCACAGCATGGAGTCATATGCTTGGACTCTGGCAGGATGCAGAGGACACAGACCCCATGCCTGCCCCTTCCTAACCAGGAGGGTCTTGTAGGAAATACAGGTGCTTGTTCCTTTTGTTTGGTGTCTGATCCTGTCCCTATGGTCTAGGTGTAATCTATGACAAGTGTCCGTTCACATGGTTTTTAGAATCTCATTAGACTGTAGATGCTTAGAAAGAAGTTTTTAGTGTAGTCAGGAGTATGGAGTCCTGGGCATTTGCATAGCTTACAGAAAGGAAAACAAAAGTCCACACTGGTGGAGTGTGGGCAACATGGGAGATTTGGATAGCGGTTCTGGAGCGAAGTATTTAAAATCCAATTTTTTTCAATTTCAGCCACTTTCACTCTTTATTGGAATGATCCTAAAACAAATTGCTCAAAAAATGAAATTTGGGTCAAGGACAATTTAGTCCATGGCTCTGTCTACTACACTTTACATGAAATATTTATAATGATGAAAGGGACCTGAGTCTTGACTACTTCTAAATGCCCTCAGAGTTTCCCCTTTGTTGTTAGCCGTTTGGTTTTCCTGAAGGCTATTTTCAAATGAACCAGAGATTTTTGAAACGAATGCAATTTATTTAAAAGCACATTTTGGGGTTCAAGAAGGGACAAATAGTTTATTCTAATACAATGTAACAGGGCAAGACTATAATGAAGTACGGTCCACACCAGAGAGCTGGATTCAGCTGGGATCAGTTGAGGAACAACAGCAAACCATAACCATTCATCAGATTTTCAATGCTGTATGGAAAAAGGCATCCACCCAGATCTTCCCGGTTCTCTGAATCTTGCCCGACAGGTGTTCATCCACATGACAGCAACACAATAAACTGCTCAGCCAAATTCTGTGACTGGACACAGAGGGAAAATTCCTCTCTCCTCTGCTTCTGGCCGAATCACTTAGCACAGAAGGGAAGTAGTTTCTTGGACAAACTATGACTGACCCATTGTGGCAGTTATACCCATTTAGGAGCTTTCAGCGTGGCAGTTGCATAATCATGACGTATACTTACAAAATATAAGCAAGAAAAAGCCTGAAGTTGCATGAATTTAAGAAAACAGCATGGGGGAGGGAAGGGTCACCAGGTCAGATGCTGTTGCTGTGAGTCCTCCAGAAGGTCAACTATTCTCAGGCTTTTGTTAGCTCTTAAAGGTATTCCAGGTGCACATCTAATCTCTAGGCCCTACATATCCGGGTGAGGTATTACTTCCTTACTGCCCAAGTCAGGTTTTGTGTTCTAAAAATGCTCTACAGAAATATCATTATAAATCCATAGCTGGAAGGGCCCATGCATCTTAAGTGCTCTTTCGTTTTCCACCTCTGAATATTCTGCCAGTGGAGATTTAGAACATTGGCTCTGTAAATGCTTTCATGTCAAGACTAAAGGCAACACTTGTTTAATTCATATTTTGACCCAACAGCAGCTTTATCTTAGGTTATCACTTGTTAAGCTCTCTAGAATGTTTTAAACATGAAGAGAGCTGCTGTGTATATATATCCAGTGTATTGTATTTTACTTGAACAAATTTGACAATAGAGATTCATAAACATCAAAACTATTTCCTTTCTGTGCTGCAAATTATGCTTTAGATTCATTTTTCTAGACAGAAAAAAAAAGAAAATTTATCTTCTATCCAATTTGTAATTCTTTACTGTAGGTCACAAGAGGTTGCAGATTTATATACACCTGCTTGTGTGTCTGTATTTTTTAATATACTTGTGTGCATAAAGGAAAGTTTTGGTGTATGTATATAAATATACCTTTATATATAGTTTGAGTGCATATGTATTTATAAGTATAAATATGCACACACATGAGGACAACTGTAGCAATTATATACACTGCAGTGTAAATGGAGAACTGGATATATACATCAAATGCACTGCAACCTGATTAGAATAATAATTAAAGTTTGCTGTACATCAAAATAATGTACACTACTCTGCGTAAACCCATGGGTTCTGACAGCATGGGATTTACCCCTCAGTTTTCAAAAAGTTACAGCTGTATTTAAAATCAGAATCTAACAATGAACCCTCAGAACTGACATCAACAGAATCCTCTTTGATTTGCATCACATAATATGTTTCAGAAACTCAGAAGTCTTGTAATATAGAGTAACAAGACTTGGTATCAGACTGTGTATCTACTTCCAGCAATGGTGCTTTCTACACCATAAGACAGATAAGTTTTCACCCAAACACCCCATTCTTGGACTGTAGTCTGATTCCTCCCTCCCTTGAAGTCATGACAAGATCTGAATACTTACCATCCTCTTATTGCCTCTTTAAAAAAACCAAAAGAAACCCAACAACAATAAAAAAAACAACAAACAAAAGGTAAAAAAAAAATCAACAATTAGTTGGGAGCATAGAGTGGGCCACAAGCATCCAGTGATACATTCCCCAGTGCAGATAATTAAGGGACCAAGGACAGCAATGCAGACAGAGCAGCTGAGCTCTGTGCAGAGAAGTGGGTGCTATTTCAAATAGTTTAGTCTCAATATCCATCTCATCTTCTGGTTACCCACTGTGACATCTGCACAAAAATATTTAATAAGCACATAATATACTAGAATGAAACTGCAAAGCTCAGTGTCTGTGCAGGAAACAAACATACCTGCTCCTTGGTACTACCACCTACAAAAAGTACATGCTGCACTCCCTGGCATACTTATGACTTTCAAACCAGAGATGGGGAAGCCCTCAGCTGACAATGGCTGCTGGTGGCTGTGCTGTGTCACAGAAGCTTAAGTAACTCCTGGAAGCCAGTGGCGATCAGCTAGGGTATAGGCAGTGATGGTGGCAGACCTCTGTCAGATGCCTCAGCCCTGAGTAATTTCTCAAGAAGACGTCAACAGGAGTAACATGAAGAAAACACCCTGAATGGAAGGACAGCTAAAGTTAAAGCTCCATCAGGAAGAAGATGCTTTAGAAATGTGGGCAACAGCTAGACAAGGTTTAAATGATCTAATTTGTAACTGCAAATGATAGTTGCCAGCAGCGAAGAGGATACTTACAAGAGAGATTTCTTTCTGACACCTGCTTGTTTTGAAGCACGTTATGGTTTTAATAATTTTTGGTTAATACAGGCAGCAAAACCTATTAAAATATAGCACAGAACTGCAGAAAAAATGTGCCACATGCAGAATTAACTGGTTGTGGCTGGAGTACAGGATAAAAAGCAAGGTGAGAAGGAAGAGTGTACTAAAGTGAGTTGGAACTAGCCCTGACTAACGCAACCAGCAGATGTTACCTACAGTGTTACTCAGCTACACTAGTCACAACTGTCAAAAAGTTAGATTCTAGTCTAATTTAACCCCTCATGCTTCTAAGGCTGGTGGGGCACCACCACAAAAGGCAGCTCCAGAGGTTAATGAATCCCAACTCTTTGGAAGACAGCTTAAAACAGCAATATCTGTCCTCTCAAAGGAGCAAAACCAAACACCATGGATGATACCTCCTTACTTTTTCCTACTTACTTTCCAGCTGCGGTTAATGTGAAATTAATCCAATTTATGACCCAGATTGATGTTCATAAGAAAAGAACAGCACTCTAACACGATGGACATGCTGGAACAGCCAAAATCCTCTGTTTTTCATGTGTGGTTGGGGTAGAAAGAAAATTAATTTGTAGAATACTCCAACATCAGGCACTGTGGAAGGTGAAGACAATGGTAAGCATTTCTGCTAAATCTCTGGTTCCGTACCATAAAAGTTAAAAAAGTTTTAACTATTTAACCA